ACGTTCTAATTTTCCCTACTGCTAAGTCTTGTTTCCTTTAATGTTTACTTCAATATGTGCTACAATTTTAAGTAATGCTAATAATACTTTAATTACATCATTTATTATTTTCAGTTTCATTTTGCAAAATATTTGTTATCATAGTTAAAGATTATTCGGGAAATGGACTCTGTCTATATATTAAAATCTTTCACTTAATTGTTTTATGATTAAAAGTGAAATAATTTTGTTCTAACCTGATAGCAGAGAGTAACGCAAATTATTCCTAATGAAAAAGAGCATATATTTCCATCATGAAGACAAATTATTATATGAGTCAATTTTAAAAAGTGAAACTACATCTTGGTATCGGGGTTTGCTAAAATATGTAAATATATCACTAGATGATATTTAGAGATATCATATTGGTTACGTAACGTTTTGGGCAAATATCGCAACCGTATAGAATTTATAAATTTTTATTTTTACTTAAAGAATTCTTAAACTTTTAAATCAATAATTTTCCTTACTTCTTTGATAAAATACCTCGTACATATAATTATATTCTTTTGTGTAATGAAACTAAATTTTATTTATTATAGAAAGTAAGAATATGAAGGCAGTAAGTAAAATAATGAAAGATATATTTAAAATATTTGGACACTTTTCCTTGTGAAATTCGTGACTTTTGTTTATAGAAATGAATGAAAACTATCCCTATTTTGTGGATTAAATTTGCTGCTATTTCTTTCATTTATCCTAAAACAGTAAGTTTCTCATGTACGCTAATTGGACAAAGTACCTTGAATTTTCAGTTATGCTTAAGTCCATCACAGCAGCTATGTGCAACACACACATTACAGCAGCTATGTGCAGTTATCACAGCAGCTATTAATTTTTGACCAATTTTTATAAATATCAACAGAAAGTTAGTCCGAAGTAATGATTGGTTTCTTATTAAATTATTTGAAAATTTTAGTCTTAGGAAAAAATATCAGTAGAAATTAATTTAAAAAGTTATTAATAGAAATTCTGCAAAACCGACATTCGAAAATTAATTCTTTCTTTAAAATATTACCTATACATGATTTATACATATAACACTGGTGTATGGTACGTCTGTGGAATATATATTTTTTATGAGATATCCGAAATTTCCGCTTAGTTAATACATTAAATATTTTTTCGAAATTCCTTCATATTTTAAAGTGAGTGGATATATGAAAATATTTTAAATTTATTTATTTTTTCTTAATGTCTTTACAGAAAATATACGTTATAACAAATTCTCTTCTTTTCAAGAATTCAAATACAAATTATATTGATTTACATGTGATAAATTACTATTGCTAAAGTTTTATTATTTTCAATAAAATTTTTTGCAAAACGTGATAACGAGGCACCCATTATACACATTGGTTCAAAACGTACTATACAAACTTAAAAAGCTTGGTCAATATCGTAAAAGTAAACCATTTTTATCCAGGAGTACGTTTTTGCATCCCCGTTAGCTATATATCATTACTGGCCAGAAATTACATTGGCTAGCACGAGTCTTTGATGAGATGGACCGAAATTGTTTTATCTTTGATCACAGCGCTAATCTGACTTGTTTCTCGTTGATTTCTTCATCTCGGGTTACCTCAAAACTCTTGTGTGGGACTTAGAGTCTCTGGCATTGACCACTTTGCAAGAGTAGTGTAGAGTCCTGGCATTTTTTAACATGAATACCTATCCATACGTCGATGTTCTAAGACTTGTATTATCGCTGTTCAAAATGACCGCTTTTTTAAATTGATGACTAAAGTATGCCTTAAACGTGTTATATTCATTTACATATATTCCGTTATCGCTTATTCTTCGAGTATTGCGATCATACTAAATTGTGTATGCGTATACATGGTTCTACGTGAAAATGCTCTATTTTTGTATTCATGACATATCTTTAAAATTGATCTAAAATGTTCTGAACTGCCAGATCATACCTTAAGAAACGTAGTTATACGACAAAACTGTAATTACTGGATAACTTTACAAATTATACTATGGTCACATAAATGCATTTTTCAAGCGGCACAGTATTCAAATGAAAGTACTATGCATCATGTTAAGTAAAATCAACTTTAGTGAACTAAATATACGAATAAAAGAGAAAAAATATCAGTAGAGAAAACATCATGATTGTGTTTCTTTTAAGCGTTTGAATGTCAGGAAAATGAAAGATGTCATTTAACTTATCCAGTTTCTTTTTGAGTATGTCCATATTGCTCACATCTACAAATGGATGTCGTACAAAAGCATTCGCTACGCTCTGTTTATCATCCACAGAAACAGTTGAAGAAACTATATTCTATGGAGAACAAAAGATAAATCGAGGCGTAAAGTGAGCATTTGATTATCCATCTAAAATGCGCAACATGTCTATGCTGGACCACAGTGAGGGATAGCTTTTGTTAAAACTTTTAAATGCAGTTTTCTTAGTGATCCAACAACAGACATCTATGGATGTTGAAAATTCCAGAAATAGCACAACAGAAAATAACTAACATTCCCATGCGTATCGTTCAAGGAGGCTTCATGGTGCTGAAAAATAACATCTACATAAATCTGCAAATTTTTGTCATGATAATTAAGTACCTTGAAAATAAAAGTGGAGAATTATTTAATTAGGCTACTGAATGCAATATAAAATATAAATGCTATTAAAGTGCTTGAATCGTATATAAAATTCTCACTTACATATTGTTTAAAGTTTATAGCTACCTCTAGGATCAAAGAAAACTAAACAATATGCAGCAAGCATAAAATGCATAACATAATAGCGCTTGGATTACTTTGTTCCTCCATTTAGCCGATCAGCGACTGTGGGAGTTTCTTAAAGTCTGAATAATGTTGTCATTAGCACGGCTAGACTGGTTTCGTTTATAGCACTGTTACGATTGTACACGATATTAAGGGCTTTTAATAACCAGACTCGATTCGTTTCAACTTAATCTTCTCTTGTGAAAGGATATATTTATATAACTGAATATATTTCGCTAATTTCTTATACTAACACATATTAAGACATCACATTCTTTCTTACACTTCCAGAAATAGAAGAATTCGATAAATTCATAAAACAGGAGTTTTTCGTCCCTTAAAGATATAAAATACGATCATTAATCAATGTAATTCACGCCCTACGAAAATTACTGCAGTTTGCTTTAAAGGATGTACCAAAAGCAGCACGTATGTTTTTCGTGTTTCAGCAACAAAAGCATCGTTAAGAAATGGAAGTGAATACGTGCTTGAACTTTTCCCCCGCATTTGAGAAACGATGGGAAATCGAAGCTCGTCACGTTTTCAGCAGCATAAAGCTGACATACCACAAGAATAAAACTTAAATAGCATTTCGTTTTTCCGCCGATATTCTCATTCTTCTTTCTTGATGTACCCGTTGGTAAAAAGACTGTTATAGACAAGTCATTTGGAATATATAGGAGTTTCTGTATAGTAGTGAGAGTCTTGAATTGTAAAAGCGAACGGCGCTCGTGAAAATAAATGTATTTTGGGCTCCAAATAGTTGAAAATGAGAATTTTGAATGTGAATTTGAGAATTTCCAAATAGTTTAAAATGATGATTTTCAGATCATCTTAGGGAAATTCTGTCTGCAAAAATAGGAAAGAGAGATATCAAAATATCTTTTATTTTGATCTCTGCTGCTTGTAGAATCTGCAGACTCTGAATAACGATATGATAAAAACATTTTATACAATAGTGCTTCCTACGTCGATTACTTTAAAAATAACTTACACTCGACTTTGTTGCATGTTTTTTACAATACATGGAACATAAATTCAATTTATTCTAAAATTCTTCTTTATTTTCATTTTTGTTTTCAATTTTAGGATCATTTACCACTAAAATTATTGCTATGTGTTTAGATTGTTTCTGCTATGTGTCTGTCAGGTTTTATGTGTATGCTATTTGTTTTTAGTAGTTCAAAAATCTTCTTATGGTTACTTTTGAACTAGTATTTATATTTAGAATGCAATGTTTTCCCCACGAATAATCTTAGAATCATTTTTGTCAATCAATTAAGCAAGATTTTACTAAATCTTTCTATCTAAGTTATAGTAACTACACAGAAAGTGAATGAAGTATATCCTTTCTTGTTATGATATGAGCATTGCCAGACGAGGCATTGACAGCTGTGCCATTAATCTAGATGAAAATGTTACAAATTTTAACCGAGCATATTCTTCCATTAAGCATACTTAGAATTCTCCGCTTTAGGAAAAACATTTGCAATTAATTAGTCCCACAGTATAATGATGTTACATGTATTTTTGTGTAAAGTATAATGAGATGACTCATTTTCATCATGAATGTAGAATTAATCTACAGTTAATTAAATAATGAAATAAATAACTTTGAAAAGGGACATGACCGCTCTTCTAGACTTATACATTGAGAGTTACATTTCTGTATCACTTTGATTAAGGAAGCTTTCAGTTTCGTTGAGTTTTACTGCATTATCTTATTAACCTATTATTATTCAAATTCCACAAGCATTTTTGTCAATTTGAACAACATGAAATAAGTGGCTTATGTTATACCACGTGCTTCTACGTGTCTCATTTCACTGTTACGCCTGACATATCGGGGAAGCTAACTGAGGTATGTCACAAAACTTTCGGATACAAACCTACTTTTTTTTATTTTCGGCGAATCATTTAGGTAGTCTTAACTCATTCTGTTTTACCTAAAATGGCAGTTCTAAATAGATGTTTAAAATTTTTCTTCCTCTTCTAGCATTATACTTTACAAATCAATAAATTTAATAACGATATACGTAAAATGTAAACAGAGAAACATTATATCCTATTAAATATTATATTCTGCTATATTATTTAGTCAGTTTATCAATGATCAGATGATGTGGGAAGTGTGACTTTAAACACAAAATGTTGCAAATCACTAGTTTAGATAATGTTATGCTAGAAAACAGCACATGATATATCACATTCATTTCCAGGTTCACCATTATGGATATTTATACCTTGAAGGCTCGTTACGCAGATGAAGCTCGTGCTGAAATGGAAGAACTGGCCACTAGCGAAGCTAGGGTCTTTCTGTTATACTGCAACCGCCAAGAAGCTATGTACATCATGCGAGCTGCTAACGAACTGGATTTGACTGGAAAAAATTATGTTTGGATCGTTACACAGTCAGTCGTCGGAGCTGCCTTTGGCAACACACCTCCCCCGTCCGATTTTCCGCCCGGACTCCTAGGTAAGTCCTAAGAATAAAACTTATTTTTACGACAATACAAATGCAGTCGAAAATTCGAAAAGACCTGATATGAATACTTAATTTCCAGTTTAACTTAAATCGCCTAACATGACTTTAACCCAAATTGCTCTGCATCTGAACAGTTTAAATGATGGGTTTATTTTATTTATTTATTTTCAGCCAATAACGTTATCTCAGAAGAGCTGTAATTTTGTTTTGGCATTTTGCGTCGAAGACATTAAATAACCGTTTCACTTTTCAAATTGTTGCCACCAAATATTATTGTCCTGTGTTATATTTAAAGAAATTAAATAAAGAAGAATCTACATAAATGCATGTATGTTTCTCGCATTATGATAAAACAACGTTACTTAGAGCCATCGAATTTTGAATAACGTAATCCTGCACTGAAATATGGGCATCCGGAGGCCCTAATTTTGAATTTGTTTTATTATCGATTTCATATTTTGTAACATTTTAATTAACAAACTCAACGATTTCAAAGAGAGAAATGACAACACTGTACGAAAAAAAAAAAAAACATTTTTATCTCCAGCACACGAGACTGTGTATCGGAAATTCTAAAGATATGCTCCCTTTTTCCCCCCTTTGAGAACATACAGACTCCCCGTGCACCACATATGTACAACACGGGGCTTACAAAAGTAAGTTAACTGAAACATTAAAAGTTACATGCGCAAATGAAGCGACGAAAAGCAGAGAACAGCAGTCTGGACTTCACGAAAACAGATAAGTTCACTGGCCAAGTCACTTCGAACATTTTCAAATCGTTCTGTAAGCATAATCTAGGGCCATCAAATGTAGGTCATGAGAAAGTCAAATGTTCCACATCCCGAGGAACTCGTTTTGAACATTCACATAAATTGCTTGATCGTAGATTAAAACGAAACAGATAACTTGCAAATTTACCGTGACCAGATAAAAACTGAGACACTTTAAAATTTAACGAGAGGAAAGACTCGGAGTTCAGTCTATGGTAAATAGAAGGAAAGAACTTTTGGTGACTTCAGCATTACAAGATGAAATGTATTCATCATTCCACATAGCTATATATTTTTATAATGAAAGGACTTCCAATAACTCTTTGGAATGCTAATGTTGATATCAATGGGTAAATTTAAGGCATCTTTAGCTAAGAAATCACCGTGGAAGCCATGATGAGCACGCACATAAGCAAAGCAGATATCAATACCTCTAATTCTAAGTGAACTAACAGTTACTAGGGTTTCGATAACTAATTTATCGCAGCTGGTAATACTGTTCAAAAGTTGAAGAGAAGAAAGAGAATCAGAACAAATGAGGTACTTTGAGGATGTTGTCCCATTATCCTGGATCCGTTTGACGGCAAGATAAATGCACAGAAGTATATGCTCCTTTTAAAATTATTTTGTGATATTGCTGAAAATAAAATTTATTTATTTCGAAAAGTGTTGCTACTGCTCGGTTTCAAATCGTAGAGTTTGTTAATGAAAAATTTGTAAGTTTTACAAAATGTATATTTAAATAAAGAAAAATGCCTGTTTGTGTGTTTGTTTGCTTGTTCGCGTTATTGATTTCTCATCCATTGTGATCCACTTTTGGCCACACTGAATCGACTAAAATTGAATATAGGTGAAATATTGGGTGGAACTTGAGCTTTTACGGCCATTTGATTAGAAAGACGAAAATCAATAAGAACTGCGTGACCTGCTTAACTGCTGAATTTAAAACTAATATGAGGGAGAATTAATTTATTTTTCTATCAAAACTTTTTATGTGGGTTCTGTACGCATCAGACTAAAAAATGTATGACTATGAATCGTATTTATTGCATCGTTATTAGAGAAGGATTACAGCCGTAGCGTTCTCTCTGTTGTCAGATACATTACTCTCAATCTAACTTAAGTGATATCAAATAATTCCACTAGTATTTAAAAAAATTAAGGTAACAAACAAAACGTTAAAAGAACGCCCCTTTGGGCGTAATTTGAAATCTGAAAGCTTTCAGATGTTTTTAAAAATTTATTTTATTTTTAAACAGTAAACCCCCAATTCGAATAAGCGAACGCGTGAAGCTCGCTACGGTATGAATTGGATGTTAATGAGAATAGGAGAATTAAAAAGGAGAGAATAAATTCAACTTTAAAGTTATGTACACATATTAATGATAATTTAGTGATAAATGAAATTACATAATAAACAAATATCGTTAATTCATATTAAGTGTAAATGAATTAAATGTATTTTAATTAAATTAAAAATAACTATTTTTTTAAAACTTTATAATTCAAACTTTGGAAACAATGAACAGTAAAGTTAACATACTAAATCAACTTATGAAATTAAATTCAAAATTTAAAAATGTTTCAAGTAAAAACATCGTTTAACTTTGTTAAATATGAATCATCTGCGTACCTCCACACTTTTTCCCTTTTCGGATTTTCTAATATACACTCATGTCCATAAATTAAGGATAATTCGAAGTCACGCGAAAATCGAACTCACGAGAGTGATATATAAGGAATACAGGCAAAGAAGTAAAATTGTTCGCAGGCGCTTTATAAGCATTTCAGTGCAATAACCGAATAGTTATGACACAAAGGACGCATTTGGATGATTTTTTACGTAGTAGAATTATCGGCCGTCTGTAATGTGAGCGTACCCCACTAGAAGTATCAGACGAACTTGGAATTGCCCAGAGTGTCATCTCCAGGCTTTGGCAACGATTCCAAGATGATGGTAATGTGAGTAGATGTTACAGCACAGGTCGCCCCAGAGTTACAACGCCGAATGAGGACCGGTATTTGGCAGTTAATGCCAAAAATAACTGGCGGAGCACAGCCTGAGACCTGTCTCGTCAGCTCTCTTCAGCCACTGGTACGGCAATTTCAAGGCAGACTGTGTACAGACGCTTGGGGCAGATTGCTCTATATGCTCGTAGACCTGTCAGATGCGTTTCACTTACTGCAACTCACTGTCGCCTGGAGTAGAGAGAATGCATTGTGGTCATAGCAACAGTGGGCTTGTGTGATGATTTCCGAGGAGTTCAGGTTTAGCTTGCAGTCTGATTCTCGCCGGACTTTCATATAGAGAGCTCCAGGTACCCGTTAACACCAAGAAAACATCATTAAACGACACCGTTACGGTGGTGCAGGAGTGCTTGTTTGGGGTGGAAATATTCTGGGTTCCAGAACTGACCTGCATGTTCAAATTGGAACCATGACAAGCCAAATCTATCGGGACGTCATTCTGGAACAACATGTACGTCTGTTTCGGGGCGCCATGGGCGCCAAATCTGTGTGACAACGCCCGTCCTAACTGTGAAAACATCGTAAGCAAATGCCTTAAATCGGAGGATATCACCCGTATGGACTAGCCAGCATTCTCACCAGACTTGAATCCAGTAGAGCACGTGTGGGACATGCTTGGCCGACGAGTTGCAGCTCGTCAACCTCCTCCTACATGTCTACCGAAACTTCGGAGAGCATTGCTTTTTGAGTGGTGTAATATCCCCCAAAATCAGATCGATAATTTGATACTCAGAATCCTAGGCGTTGTACGGACTGTATTGCATCGTCTGGGAGACATACAATGTATTAACAATCATACCAACCATGTACTATTGGTTTTTTGTAAATAGGGTTTTTTTGTAATTTCCAGGGAGAAAAAAATGGCTATTTTTTTAATAATATCAAACATATAGCATCTTTTTTTGCTCTTTACCTTTTGTTTAATAAATAAGCTTTACAAATAAGTCAAATTTGTTTTGCTTCTAACTCTTCCTTTGCCTGATTTTGCATTACCCTTAATTTATGGACATGAGTGTAAAATACGCATATGCGAGTTCATTTCTTCAGAGAAAATATTGAGACGATTTTTGCGCGTAGAAACGCATGACCATGAAGAGAACTGTAAATTCTGAAGACTTAGAATTAAAGGTTCTTACAAAATAAAGGTATTCTTGGATTCAAATATATTTTGGAAATTTTTGTGTAATTTTAAAATGCTATTTTATTGAGCCTGCAGATCATTACTTCTCGTAATAATGAGAGAGATATTAATGAATAAACAAATATATCTAAGATGGTCGAAAAATTAATAAATGAATAAGCAAAACTAAAAAGATGTATAGAGGGTTAGAAGTTAAATGCAATTATTTAACACGTTTGCGTAATAAATAAATACTTAATTAGCACAAACAGTTTAATGTGAATGAACGCACAAAAATAAAAAATAAAATAGAAACACAACTGAAATTTATCATCTTTAGAATTAAATTCGTATCGTTGCCCAACTCCAAAAATGCATTCTTCAAAAATATACTGTATTGTCATTTATTGGCCGAAGATTATCGATTCGTTTTACTGTTCTCCTATGTATATATCTATGTATGTATGTGCGTGTGTTATCGGTATATGCAAGAATATATCAGAAACGCAAAATGTATAAAAATAAAGTATTTTTGAGCCTCGAAAGAGGAGGTCAGAATCCATGCAATACTAAATCATTTTTCCCCTGTTAACGCAAGACAAACAATACACACTTGACGTGCTATCAATAAATTAATTAGAAAATGAAATGAATGACAGTGAAAAATAAATTACGTAACATTGCCTATAAAATATTTATTTTATTATAATTACATTTACTCGATTAAATCAAAGCATAAACTATCTGTGAAGAAGTTTCTCCATCAGAGACATAATTAGAAATTAAAGGTGTGTTTCAATGTTTAGTTAAATTTTTGCACTTAGGAAAAAGATTTGACCTAAAGTTTGAATATAATTGATGGTATCTAGCTTGCAAGCTTTGAGAATTATTAACTTGTGACAAGGCTTAGGTATTATACAAATATAAAAAGGTGTTCTCAACATCATATCAACTCAGTTAATTAATACACTATACTCATTACTACTTTCGAGTAATTAGTAACTAGTTTTTAATAAACTAATTACTACTTTGGACAATAATCGCCAAAAGCCCGTGAAGAGCCTAAATCT